CAGTATTCCAGCTGAGCTATTCAAAAACTTAAAAGACGATGCAGTAAAAGTGCTACACTCAATATGCCAACAGTGGCCGCAGGATTGGAAAAGGTCAGTTTACATTCCAATCCCAAAGAAGGGCAATGCCAAAGAATGTTCATACTACCGCACCATTGCAATCATTTCACATGCTAGCAAAGTTATGCTCAAAATCCTGCAAGCTACGCTCTAGCAGTATGTTGACCGAGAAGTACCAGAAATACAGGCAGGATTTTGAAGAGGGAGAGGAGCTAGAGATCAAATTGCCAACATATGCTGGATCATAGAGAAAGCTAGAGAGTTCCAGAAAAACATCTACATCTGCTTCACTGACTATGCTAAAGCCTTTGATTGTGTGGATCACAACCAATTGTGGCAAGTTCTTAAAGAGATGGGAGTACCAGACCATCTTATTTGCCTCTTGAGAAACCTATATGCGGGTCAAGAAGCAACAGTGAGAACTGGACACGGAACCACCGAATGGTTCAAAATTGAGAAAGGAGTTCGGCAAGGCTGTATACTGTCTCCCTGCCTATTTAACTTATATGCAGAGCACATCATGAGAAAGGCGGGGCTAGATGAATCACCAGTTGGAATTAAGATTGCTGGGAGAAATAACAACCTCAGATATGCAAATGATACCATTCTAATGCAGAAAGTGAAGAGGAACTAAAGAGCCTCTTGATGCGGGTGAAGGAGGAGAGCGCAAAAGTTGGCTTGAAACTCAACATTAAGAAAACTAAGATCATGGCATCTGGTCCTCTCACTTCCTGGCAAATAGATGGGGAAGAAAAGGAGGTAGTGACAGACTTTATTTTCCTGGGCTCCAAGATCACCGCAGACGGGGACTGCAGCCAAGAAATTAAAAGACGCTTGCTCCTCGGGAGGAAAGCTATGGCAAATCTAGACAGCATACTAAAAAGCAGAGACATCACCCTGCCAACAAAAGTGCGTGTAGTCAAGGCTATAGTTTTCCCAGTTGCAATGTATGGCTGTGAAAGCTGGACCATAAGGAAGGCTGAGCGCCAAATAATTGAGGCCTTTGAATTGTGGTGCTGGAGGAGACTCCTGCAAGTCCCTTGGACTGCAAGGCGATCAAACCAGTCAGTCCTAAAGGAGATCAACCCTGACTGCTCTTTAGAAGGCTGGATACTGATGATGAAAATCAAGGGACTCGTTTTTATCTTACATCCATATGATACTGCTGGGGGAAGTTTGCTGGGAATGTAAACTGAGGAGGCCTCAATATGAGATGCCATCCAGCTCTACCTTTCAGACTCACGCAAGGCAATAAATGTCCCAAATATAGTAGTAGTATTAGCCTCAGTATAGTAATAGTGAGCGTGGTGAGTCCAAAACCTCTGAGGCGGGCCGGATCCGGTCCATGGACCGTAGTTTGAGGACCCATGTTCAGAAACTTCAGTTAGCTCAAAAATACAGCTGCTAACAGGGACTGTCCAATTTGACCAGGTGATGTCAGTGCTTTGGCATCTGTACTGATTTCTTTTCCATTTCTAAGCCTTATTCAAGGCTTTGAAATGGCATTGTCCGTAAATGGTTTGGGACCAGAGTAACTTAAGATAATCTCACAAATGTACCTTCTCTGGATGCCCCTCCCAAAGGATGCTAGGAGGGTGGCTGCAAGAGTGAGGGTATTCTCAGTTGTGGCATCCCCCTGATGGAATAAACTCCCCAAATTAGTATTCCTGGCACTTGCATTGTTATATTTTCAGCACAAAGCTAGTGTTGCAATGAAGCTTATGTGAAACCCAGCCCTCTTCAGTTCAAGGAGCTGGGACTCCTCTCTACACTTAAATTGTTAGGATGTTTTCTTGGAATTCTTGTTCAAATTGTGGTGTTGGAGGAATAACAGCAAGAGGAAGGGGGGACCCAGTAGTGGGAATCAGAAGCACCAAAAATGGGGTAGTAGGGCAGTCAAAGAAGAAAGTGCATCCAAACGGGATGAACAGTATCTCCTCTTTGACAATGTGATCTTGTCACATTTATAAGTGGTAAGTGTTGAACTGACAGTTTCAGTTTTGCTCACCTATTCAACACTTTGCCAATACTTCAGCTACTCCAGAAAGGGTAGGTATTAATTCTCCCACTTTTTGTAGCTCTTCTCCAGTTTAAAAAAAAAAAAAACCTCAGCATAAATTCATACAAAATTAATGTCTGGGAAAGTAAACAGAGGTGAAATGTAATGCCAGGGAGTAAAGGGAGGGTGAATTGCAGACCTACATAAGTTCTCCATTACTGCAGGTATAGAAATGTTTCCTCCATTTACTTCCCAGACATTAAATTGATATATATTTCTCCATGTTTAAAATAACTGTCATGGCATTGCAGTAATAACAGCAGTAAATGCTCTGAAAAGAGTGGAGGACTAAATATCTTTCCTTTCTGACTTGGGACTCAGGAAGTGTGGAAAGGGGAAGGTACTAAGAAACGTCAGTTCAACACTTGTAGCTGAGAGGACTACATTACTAAAGGAAACAGCTTGTTCTGCCCCTTGTGCACCTTACTTTTGCAGCTTTCCTCCTTTTTATTAGTCCTTTTCAGTTGACAATTTGGCAATTGAAACCTGGCAACTGTGCACAAATTAGAATATATACAGTCCTCCTTTGTAAGTCTGTTCCCTACTCTGCTTTGCTGTTCTCTTTTGACAGCTGAAAATGAAAAGGAAATTCCCCAGAAAAGACATAAATATCAAGCAGTCTTAAGAGTACATTTGCAGAATACTGGCGATGCTGATGACGACGACAGTTACACAGTTTCAGTGTCTGAATTTTTTTTTGAAAATTAGAAGTGCAATTTATTGAAGGACTGGAAAAAGGGAAAAAAGTGAATGAAAGGTATAGTGATTGGAATGAGGAAGGGGAGGTGGGCAAGGGGATGCATGCTGGAAGCAGTTGGAATACTGGGGGAGGGCAGCAAAAACAACCCACAGTAAGCCTGATCATCTCTTGGACACACCATGTCTCAGCAAAGAACCATGACTTATTCTCAGGATGGGTTAGCACAGTGGTGGTGAACCTATGGCATGCATGTGACAGCGGGCACGCGGAGCCCTCTCTGCTGGCAGGTGGGCCAAGTCACCCCAGGATCGCCCCATGAGCCGAGCATTGGATAACAGTGCGCATAACAAGTGGGTTTTGGGTTGAAGTTAGGGCACTTGTTCTCTAAAAGGTTCACCATAACTTGGTTAGGGGTAGAAAAACGAGGTGCCCCGGCATGATTTTGATGGCTGGAATGTGTTTAGAATGGGCAGAAATGATGAGCAGTGCAGAAAAGCTACTCAAGGAAGACTTTTTGAAAGGCACCCTCTTTTCAATTGAACTTTAACCCTATTTTACGGTTAGGGGTGTGCACCAGGGTAGGGTTAGGGTTAGAAAAACGAGGTGTCCTGGCATGATTTTGATGGTTGGAATGTGTAGAAATGATGAGCAGTGCAGAAAAAGCAACTCAAGGAAGGCGTTTTCAAAATTGCATTATTTTCAATGGAACTTTAGCCCTGTATTAGGGTTAGGGGTGTGCACCAGGGTAGGGTTAGGGTTAGAAAGACGTGGTATCCTCGCATGATGTTTTCAAACTCACCCTCTTTTCAGTGATATTTTTGCCCAATATTAGGGTTAGGAGTGTGTTTTTTCTAATCTAAAGCCTTAGTTTTAGTGTAGTATTGTCACTTTACGATAAATAGGTGGTTTTGGGTTGTAGTTTGGGCAAAAGGTTCTCCATCTCTGGCTTAACATGATTTGTGAATGTGCCCAATCAGTGTGAATTTGTTGGGTTCCAGAGTGGCATCTACTGGTCAGACTTCTGATGTTGAGCCTATTTTAAATATCAAAAATTTTGTTTTCTGAATTAGTAGTCTGATTATTCAAACAAAATCTAATTTGAATCTTTAATTGGGCTACCATTGATAGTATCTTAATTCTAACAAAACTTGTGGACAGTGATTGAGCTAACTATGTGTTCTCTCACTCCTTATTTATACTAAAGGCAGCATCTGATCAGTGCTGAAAAATTGCCTAAAACTTTTTTTTTGAAAAGGCTGGATATTAATACCCAAGATTATAACTCACTCTTTCCTTTTCCAATTAACCTCTCATTTTTCCATCTACTAGTTCTTTCCAATTGACATTTTCGCAAGTAGTCCTGGGTTAATTTTTTACCTTCTCCACTTTGCCTATTTCCTTTGGCTTTTTGGCAGTAAGCGTGGTATAGCTATATGATTAAAGAATACTCTGGGCAAAGTTTTACTAAATTACATAATGCATGACTAGGCAAGGAGTATTCTGCAGGAATGGATATGTTGCCAGCTTTAGTGTTCAAGATGAAACTGTTTCTCTGTGCCGTTTTATATGATTGCTGCAGCCTACTATGACTTGTTCAAGGCACTGGTTTGTGGCACATGCCAGGAACCATTCTGATTATTCAGCCTTTAAGAGGGGTTTGCTGTGGCCTGCTGTGCAGTCTGAGGCTAGATGTCAGAGATTATTTAAGGGTGAAGCAACCCAGAAATAATCTTACAATAGATAATGAATTATTTGAAGGTTGCTACTTGGGAAAATAACCCCATCATACATGTGCACTTATCCCCATCCAGTGGCATTAAATGACATTCAGTCTATAAGCATTCTCCTATCCCCATATGGAATTGACAGCACATTTAGGGTATTTAGTGTTATAGCAAAATAATTGGCAGATACTTGTAAGAGTATGGATTATTTGGTTATATTCCCTATGATATTGAAGAATGAACCAACTTTAAAAATTAATCTTCTGCACCATTTTACTTCTGAATTATGTTGCCTTGGCAGAACCATTCAGTTTTTCCTGTGGGTGCACCATACCAGATACTCACTCTTAATTTATTACTATAGTGCTGTTGTAACATTTATTTAATTATTAGACTTTTATCCCACCCCATTAGTCATAAGACTCCCTTAAAGTACATGCAATTTATTTTGTTACAGCCAGCAACACCACCAAGCCAAGGAAGGCCAGATTCACCAGTTTACGCTAATCTGCAAGAACTGAAAATATCTCAGTCTGCACTTCCACCTTTGCCCATCAGTCCTCCAATCCAAATTAATGGGGAATGGGAGACCCATAAAGATACAACAGGACGTTGTTACTATTACAACAAAGGAACGCAAGAGAGAACCTGGAAGCCTCCACGTTGGACTCGTGATCAAAGTATAAGTAAAGGAGACTCTCTGAACCAAGTAGATCAAGAGGTAAGTTAACTGATGGTACCAGGGAGTGTGAATGAGCTTTATGTATGCATAAATGGTGGACAAAACACTGGGGAAACATTTCAGGTGGTCTTAAATTTTCCTACCTCAGTTGATCAACTACTATCCTTAGGTTTATTATTATTTTTTTTTAATTTCAGTTCCTCAGTACTGGAAACAAGACAAACTAATTAGTCCTTGCATGAATGTCATAGGACAGAGGCCCTTGATCCCATGCATTTTTAAAATGAAAAATCTTGCCCATTCTACTGTGGAGACACATGTTATTGTTATGTGGCAAGAGAGAGCATGACGAACAGATTGATATTAATGTGATACTATTGTAAAGGTTTCCTGGTTTCCCTCTCCACAAAAACTGGTTGAACTGGCTTCTTATGACAAGTAGTATATGTAGGCTTTTGTCAGATATTTCAAAAGCAAAAGCTTTAGTTCCTAGCATTTTGTGGTACTGTGTCTAATTTGTCTTAATCTTAGAAAGAACAGAAAACCTCCAAGGTAAATATTATTCAACGTGGTAGTATCCAGTGTTAGTTCTACAAAGAATAGATGTATAAAATTAATGAGATTTAAGTTAGGTACAGTAAATGTCTGGGCCTTTGCTTGGGTAGCCGTGGTGTATTGAGATTCATTGCTTGAAATACTGGGCTCCATTGTGGCAACTACTCCATGGCTAGTTGTTCCTACTGGTTGAACCGTGATGGTTAGGTTAAGTGAAGCTCATTTTAAAAATACTGGCTCTGTCTTTCACCTCAGTTATAGTGTAGGGTTTATTTTTAGGCACAACTTTTAACTTCCTTGGGAGCTGGGCTTTCCACATATGTTTCTTCTTTGTGTTATCTGGAATAATATAATATTCTGAAGAGAAGCAGCTATTGGAATTTGGCGGCCAGTGTGTAGGTGAGCTAAATGTATACAGACAAGGTAATAAAATATGCTGCCTCTGGACAGGCTGAGTGGGGCATGTTTTTTTATGGATGCTATTGAGGACTGAGTCAAAGCAATTATGGTGGAACATGTTTCCAAATATTTTAGGATTTAGGTGTTGGTTGGATTCTTCTTTTACTTGTACTCAGGTGAGTTATTGATCTTACCTACGTTATTCCAATGCTAGCTGTTAATATATCATCCCTTGAGATTATTATTGTATGTGAAGTATTTTGAATACTTGGGAGAACTAATTAGAAGAACTAATTCTAATGGTTTAGTATCTCCAGATTATTTTAGTTATCATTTCTCTTTAACAGCAGTTCATTTATTTGTGTTGTTCCCGTCTATATGCTTTTTCATTTAGGACCATCAGGATATCATCCATTTCCCCCCTTGATCCCAGAGTTATCTTTGTTTTAATTTTGATTCATCTCTTATATTTGCTTCAGACCATAACTGCTTTGTCCTGCGTGTATCTTTTTTTCTGGGGATAATTTTCCATTTTTTTCACCCTGTACCCATGTTGGTCGTTGAGGTGAAATATGACAAAGTTCAGTTGGCAGAATAAATAAATTTTGCCATTGATTTCCATAGGATGTGTATGGCTTCCTAAGTGTATACTGAGTTAAAATTAGTATTTTTCTCAACTTCTGCATATAGAAAAAATACATGGGAGTCCTCTCCAGCCGAACATTTTCACTAGCTTTTTGTTGTCTGTTGGTGTTATGTGCTGTCAAGTTGTCTTTGACTTATGGCAACCCTATGAATGAAAGCCCTCCAATGTGTCCTATCCATGACATCCCTGCTTAGCTGTTCACTAACTTTCTAGTCAGTAGTTACCTTTTTTTCTGAAAGTATTCAGCTGTTTCCTTTTCCTCCTCATAAAACTTGAAATTCATTTTCATCAAAATCTAAACTTCTAGACAAATTCTAACATCTTTCAGAATCCGAACTAATATCACTTTTCAATACTTCTCTGTGTTTGACAATTTGTAGGCTCTTTCATCACAAGAAAACTCCCACAATTTTTCTAACAGCCAGTCAGATAGTCAGTATGGTTCTCCTCCCAAAGGGTGGTCAGAAGAGTTGGATGAACATGGCCATATGCTATATACCAGTGACTATACTAATGAAAAGGTACACACTTTTCTTCCTTTAGTATCTTTAACATTGGTAGAAATATAGTAGTAAGAACTCAGGAGTGAATTTATGTTATTAGTGGTAGAATGGTATAGATTAGGGCCAACTTCCTCCCAGTCCCTTAAAAAATCATGCTTATTTCTTGCCACTATTTTCTTTCTTCTTAAGAAACTGCCCTTCTAGATGAGAGCTCTATTGTGCTTAGTCTCTGCTCGTCCTTAGAATAATACAATTCAGAGCTGTCATCGCTTATTGGATCCCCTGTAAGTGTCTTATGAATTAATAGCAGATCTAGGTTTTTGATATGCGTTGTCAATACAGTGGTGTTTGGCAGGCTTAAAAAGCAATTGCATTCAGTTTTTTCTCATCTATAGACTATGAATAATGTTGCATTATCAGCAACCGTATTAACTTTTGCCTATGTTACCAATGCATTGCTTGTTTAAGAAGAATAACTCTAAAATAATGTTTGAAAAAGATCTTTTTTCTGGCAATAGTGCACAGTTGTCCAATTAATTTAGTTATAGCTGTAAAATTTTATGTCTGAATTTGGAAAGTATAATGTGTCAGGCTGTCATACAGGGCAAATCACTCTACAGATGAGAGATGCAGAGCAGATTGATTTTGTTGGCCTCATGTATTTCTATGTTCCTGAGTGGTCTCACTCTCATAATCATAGAGCTCTTGGATATCCCCAAGTAAACTTCAGGCACTCACCAGCTGAGAAACTAGACTTACCATGTAGTTGAATTCTTGTTGGTCTTAGGAGAGAAATTTGCTCTTCCAGCATACATAAGTGAATGTTCCTTAAATTCGGAACTACATGATTTCCCTTTCTCATGTCCTCTTTGGATTAGTTGTCTTTAGCAGTTCATAATGCCAAGAGCTTAGGGTTTTAGCTTGGTTATAAGAACTCTAGAAAAGAGAAGGGATATTTTTCTTCCAAGTCCTTGTTCATGGAACTATAATGGCCTTGAATACAGCAGTAGTAGTACAGTCTTCATTTTAAAGTAGATTCCTCTGCTGTCACTGACAAGGTCTAAGCTTTCATACAAATTATTTTGCCATGTTATACTAGTACTACATTTATCCATATCATATACTAGCCACCATTTACATGAACACTCCTTCAAATAGTGGAACAGTAAATCACCCATCTAAAATTCATGGATGGGCCTTAGAAAAATTCCTCTCCACTTTAATGACGTGGTGTTCTTGTAAATATGCTATAAATATGGTGATGTAATTAAAATTTTGTCCAAAGGAGCTTTGGTGAAGAACCCTAAATAAATGGGTACCATTTTTGTAGAGTCTTTCTTACTTCATAAGGACTTTTGCCCTTGGCAATAATAGGTACTATATTTTTCCTTGTATAAGATGCTACGTTTTCTTTAAAACATTTAGCTAAAAATGGAGGTGCTTTTTATACATGGGGGCGCGTTTTATACATGGGGGGGAGACTGGTGTGCTCACATGCGTGGGGGGCAGCGAAGCGGCAGCTTTCTTGTGGGGGGTGGCAGCTTCCTCGCTGCAAATTGTTAGGAAAAGTGGGGGGCGTCCTATTCATGGGGGCGTGTTAAAGACAGAAAAATACGGTATGTTTTCTGTTGCAGTAGGAATGGGCAGGAAGTAGATTTTATCTATTGCTGCACCAGTGGACAATTTCCTCATAGCATTTAGTGCCTGCTAGTTTCTTGATTCTCTCAAGAAATGTTGGGTTAGGTAGAATTTGACTTGAATTTCGCAAGTTCCTTTTCATGTGCTTAAACAATAGTACATATTCAGGATAATTTAATATGGTTAGTTATGCATTTACCTGTTACGAGTGCCTGAGTATGCACTTTTGCTTTATACTTTAGTGAAGTCAGCCCACCTCTGTCCTATATGGTTTAGACTTAAGGCAGAAGATTTTCATACGCAGTATCTTACTTTGAATGCATAACAAAATGATGTTCTTGGAAAATCTACATCAGCCCTCCAAAAATAAAAGAATGGCATCTTTTATTTTTATGTGATTTTTAAAATGTGAATGTCAAGAATTGGATATCACCTATGAAGCCCTTAACGACTTGGGTCCTGGTTACCTAAAGGAGCGCTTACGTCCATACGTGCCGTCCCTTGAGATCGGCAGCAGAGGCCCTTCTCCGGGAGCCCTCCATGAAGGTCGTTAGGAGGGTGAGCACTCGGAGGAGGGCTTTCTCTGCAGTGGCACCCAACCTATGAAATGCGCTCCCCCAGAGAGGTCCACCTGGCGCTGTCGTTATTTGCTTTTTGGCGCCAGGCCAAGACCTTTTTATTTAAATGTCATTTTAATTGTTGATTTTATTTATTGATTTTAACAACTTTGGCCAGGATGTCTTCAACTGTATTTTATTGTATTAATGATATTTATTTATTTGTAAGCCACCCTGAGGCTTCGGCGAATGGGGTGGCATATAAGTCTGCTAAATAAAATAAAATAAAAATAAATGATGGTAGCAGTTGGCACTCACAGGTCATGCTCGTCTGGGCTCCAAGTCAGGGAATGAAGGGGAGGAGGTGGAATGAGCTTGGGAATGTGGGGCTCCAGACTTTGAGATGAAAGAAGCAAAGCCACTCTTCCTAAGCACCCAGGCAGGCTCTGAAAATAGCCAAGATGTGCAGGTGTTGGGTGGGTACATGCAAGAGGAGCTCTCAGAATCAGATGAACCTGGTATAACTCTGGACCCCATGACACTGCGTCAGGAGAGGAGGGCCAGCCAACTAGGGTACGTTTATAGAAAAGAGGTGTGCTCACTTCCAGGCAGGCCTTTCAGAAGGTATCAGGCCCAGACAGCACTTATGAGGAGGGTTTCCAGAAGTAGTTATTTAGATTGGGTTCAGTGAACTGCTCTGTGTATGGTCAGAGATACATTCTGTAGTGATTTATTTTTATTTATTTATTTTTTTAAACATTTATACACCACCTATTTTGCCATGGCATCTCTAGGTAGCTAATTGGTATCCTTTGGTGAAAAAAGAGCTTTTTGCAAAGAAATGCTCTGGTGCCTTGAATGTGTTAAGGGAGGAAAACTTCAGAGTGGGTTGTCAATTTATTTATGCTGTTAGCTGTCCAGAGACGTTAGTAATTGGATGGCATACAAATTTTATAAATCAATCAATCAATCAATCTTGGCACATGACAGTCAAAAAGACTCTAGTAACAATCAGGGCTCAAACCTGATTAGTAGTAGCTTTCTAATTCATTATGATTTTTATTTCTTGCAGTATGACACTAAGGTCTTTTTGGTGCCAGGTTAAGACTGTCCTGTATGACAGGACATTTAATTAGTTTTAGTATTATATTGGAGCATTATTCAGCTACTTAAAACAGTCTTATGATTTAATGTGTATAAGGTATTGTAGCTTTCAAAAATAGTTTTGCGTTTGGCTGTAAGGTTCTGCATTGTCATTTTCATGATGTTAGTATATGCATTTTATATTGTGGGGGTTTTTTGGGGGAGGGTATTTTAAATGTTGTTAATATTCACCTAGAGAATTTCAGCTGTTAAGCACTATAGAAATACCAGCAACAGTTGTGGAAACACTACTGCACAGTCAACTGTAGTTCTAGCTACATGATCAAAGAGGGGTTGGTCTTCAGTGTGATGTCCTGCAAAGTGATGGCAGTTTATTCAGTTAATTAAAGGCACTGGAAATATTTCCATTTGTTCTCACAGTTGACAGGTTTATAAACTAAGGCTCTAGTTCTAATTGTTCGTAATAGATATTTAATTTAATTCTTGTTTCTGTAGTGGATAAGGCATGTAGATGAACAAGGTCGATCATACTACTACAATGCAGATGGATCACGATCTGAATGGACACTGCCAAAAGTGAGTAATGAAAATAATGCTGTTTCTAGCTGTTGATCAAGAGATGGATCTTACTGCAGCTCATACAAAAATGTGTTTTATATCAGAAATATATTTAATTGTTGTATATTTTGGCACTGTGACTCTTGGGAAAGAATGTGCATGTATAGGTTTTCATCCCGAAGGCTTTATATTTAATTGACTAAAAAGTATATGTAAGATACTTTATATTTTCAAAGGACATTTAGCACTTCGAAATCATAGAACATCATATTTTTCAAAGAATGAGTTTTTAATTTGTGCAAAATCATAGCATGTAGTGTGATGCCATCAAAGAACAAAGGGTTTTGAAGTTTAATAAGAAGCATGCTTTCCACATGAGTCAAGATACAAAATTCCTTTACCAAAACTTGTAGTGAATTTCCTGTACAGGGTTTGTTCATTTGGGCACCATAAAGTTCATATTAGCTTTAGAAAGGAAAACAATAAGCAACCAATGGATGTCTCTATGTTGATACATAATAGAATAAATCCTGACTTTTACTGCGCCTGAGAAGTGTTACCTTCTACATAGCCATAATTTGGAAAATGATGAACTTCCAAAGTTAGTTTATGATATGGGATAGAAGTCTGTAGTTCAGTGGGGAAAAATCTTGTTGTACCTGTCTAAGAACTGGGAGAGTTAGTATCTCATTGAATTACACATTTAATCGTTTAAAATACCTTATGGAAGCTATAGGCTAAACATGTTTTCATTGATAGAAATGAAACAGACATGAAGTGAATCATTACAGCTTGGTGTAGAACAGGTAGAATTTGCAAGTAGTAACTCTGCATTCAGAGTTATGCAGTACCTTTGTTATCTGGTATTTGCACAAAGGAGGAGGGAAATGGTGGTTAATACTCTGGCATTGTTGCAACAGTTTGAATGGATGTCTTGGACTCCTAAACAGGGGGTGCTTATGCTATCTTAGTATAAATAACAGTCATGTTGGCATTCCATAAAGCATATAAGAGAAGGCACAATTTTTACATAAATGTAGGTCAAAATTGCACACATAGGGATTCATGGATATGCCTGAAGATCTGTTTTTATTTGCTTCCTACTACCTGGAGTTCATAGAGTCTTTCAACTGTCGTTAAGAGATTTGGAACAAGCTTTGCGGCATATATTTCTTCACAGCACTGGTGCTTTCATAATTATAGTACAAGAAAGGGTGCCTGGAAGATACTATTTAGGATATGGGTTGAGGGTGTGGGTTTGAGTAATAGTTAGTGTCAAAGATGTTTTAAACTTATATAATGGAATGCTGAAATGATAGTGTTTATACTTCATTGTTCTCAATAAATGGGTTAAAGTCCTTGAAGGCATTGTAAATGTTTCCTATCAAAGTTCATGCCTGAATTCTTTTCCGTCTGTTATGCCTGCTGGTAATATCTTTGACAGAAACATAGAAAGGGGTAAGATGTTTGATTAATGTAAACTGTACTTCTGAGTGCCACACATTGGGTTTTGCAAGGCCAGGCATTTGGACTGAAATCTTGTACCGTGACCACATCTTAAGCAAGCTAACATTCCTCAACCCTGCTATTACAAAACAAGCAAATGTTACAAGTGAGAGTGATGAAGTTTACCTTCTGATCTGTTTGTCTGAGTTGTCCAGTGAAAATAGAATTTGACTCAGTTTAGGCTCAATTTTATTTTTAGTAGACCAGTAAGTATTGTTGGTCATATTGATTTTGGAATATAAGAGTAAAATTATCATTTTTGTAAAATGGTATGAATTCTTATAAGTTTGGTCCTTAAATAAACCAAGAATGGCATACATTCCCCAGGTGGTTTCTCATCTAGATTCTGGCTTGATCTAGGTTTGCTTACTTACTTGGTTACCCAGGAGCATGAGGGGGATCACTAGGTGTTTTGCAGAGTCATTTTTTGCTGTTCTTTGCTATTGTCAGTTTTTATCATCTGTTTTTAGCTGTTTAAAACTTTTTAACATTTGTTTTTTCTGATTTCAATGTATTTTTATTGCATTTTATTGTCTGTTTTACTGGACTTTTGTAAACCTTGTAGAAAGCTTTGGCTGTGGGATGGTATAGAAATGAATGAATGAATGAATGAATGAATGAATGAATGAAATAAGTAGAATGGTTTTAAGACTAATTATGCTATGCAGTGTAGATCACTAGGCAGTTTTTTTTTGTTTGACAAAGGGCACAATCTTTTGTCCTCCTAACATGGTTGGGTGGAGCAAAAGATTATGGAGAATCCTAACTCTGAGATCCTGCAGACTTGGGATGTGGAGTGCCTACCCCTTTCCCCTTTGCAGGTTGGGAATTGGCATTGGAGTGAAGGAAGGTGGGCATAAAGGGGGAGGGGGGGCAGGAAGGGGAGGAGGCTGAGGCCAACAGCTTATGCTTTTATCCAAACAGCACTCTGCCCTTCTCACCTCTTCCACTGCAGCTGTTAATCTGAACTGCCCAAAATGGCCATCTTGATGAAATGTGGAGAGTGAGGCACAGTGGCAGTAAAGATTGCTGGTTGCATAACCTCACAGTTTACATTGGATGCATGCAAAATTCTGAATCTGGAGGCTTACGTGCATCTAGAGTAGAGGGCATTGGATTATTCCAAGAGTTAAAGAAGATCTATTAAATGGGAAGGGGAAGATAGAGACCATTTAATTTTTTACAGTATTTATATTCCATTCTATATTCAGGCAGATTCCAGAGCAGTGAACAGCAAAAGCTAAAAACAGGTAAACGGGGGGAAAACCAATATATTAAAATACGGTAACATTAAACTAATGGCTTGTCACCAAGAGAGGCTTCCAGGAGTACTGATGAGCTCAAAACAGCACCATGTTGGTGTCTACCTAACCTCCTGAGGCAGGGAATTCCATAGAAATTGAGCTGCCATACTGTGAAGGCTCTTCTTCAGGTGAACTCCATTTGGGTCACTGGACTGTATGCAACCACCAGAATATCTTTTCAGTGACTGACTAGGCAGGTTGGTGAAGGAAAAGATACTCCTGCATTTTTATATAATGCATAGAGTGAAAGTAGCTACCAGTGTATTTATACATACTTGACTTGGCTCTTGACTGCAGTTATAGTGTGTGGCTTTCCCCTTTTTCATTTTAGTATAATGCTTCACCACAACAGCAAAGGGAGATAATTAAAAGCAGGAGTCTGGACAGGAGGCTACAGGAACCAATAGTTTTAACAAAATGGAGGCACAGCTCAATTATGTTGGACACAAATGACAAGGTAGGAATGCCTTAAAGAACACATTGGACTTTTCTGTTGTCATGTACATGGTAATCTGTGACTTTCAGAAATTACTGTGCACCTAAGAATCCAGAATCACTGGTGCCACACTGTCAGCTAGCTGCTGATCTCTGTAGACTGTACAGCACAAGTTTGCATATAGATACTCAAAATTAAATCCCAGTGATTTCAGTTAGATTTGCTTTCAGCTGTTTGGCATGAGATTCCATCCTGTGTCTTAATAGCTGTGTGTCCTGCAAGATCACTCCATTATATAGTCTCTTCCCAAACATGGCCCTTACCTCTAGTAAAGTAATAGTCTGAGGTTGGAATGAGAGTTTCATCTCAACTGTATACCTAGTGGCAGCTACCTTTCTTTTTTGTCTTGAAGTCAATGGCTACTATAGGAAGGTTTATTTTAAAAAGAAGATTCATATGTTACATAAGTACCTTGAGGCAATGTATGCTAGATCAAGTTTTAAAACTGTGAAATAATCTCAAAGCATTAATCAAAATTGACAATATTGATTGACAGCAAAAAGGTGTTGTTTTATTTTAAAATGAAGTATGAAGAGTGCACACCTTGTTTTAAACTAGTATTGTGTTCCTGGAAGCCCTGCTGTCAGACAGGTAGGTGTGAATGAACATTCGCATACTGAAGAACTCATCTTTAAAAAGATTTTGGACTGCACAGAAATGGACAGATTGTTTCTGAAGGAGAAGGAGGATACGTATTTCTATCAAACTTGGTACTTTATTTACTATTGGATAGAGAAATGGGACTATGCGTAGATTTGAATATGGTTATGGCTTCTTAAAAAGAGAAAGATGCTGACCCAGTATGTCCGGTGTCTTAAATGATAGATGTTTTTAATGTTAGTTTCTAGAAAAAAAATAATAAAATTTATTTAAAAAAGAACATCTGCATACATTCCCTCTGTGCTTTGTTTTCCCATGGAAAGTCAGGGGTTTGCTACTTCTGAGTCCCTGAAGTTTGGTGTTGCTGTCTTTGGGAGGGGCATAGCTCAGTAAAATACATGAGTAGTGAGCAGAAGATCCTAGTTTCAGTCCCTGGCATATGCAAGTAGTTCGCCTGACTGTAAATCTGGAGAACTGCTGTCGTTCAGTGTCAACAGTATTGAGCTAGATGAGCCAATGATATATAAGGCAGCTTCCTGTGTCCATATGATTTGGGAAGCAACAGGGGCTACAAAATGACCAGGGAGAGTGTTTGTTGCCTGCCTCTGACCTAAATAAGAGGTCAAATAAGAGGGAAGGCCTTACATAATTTGAGAACCACTAATGAGAAACTCTGTGCCTCTTTGTCACTTAAAACCCCTCTACATATTCTACATATACATGTCACTTAAAACACCTCTACATTTTGAGCAATGAAGTCTCAAAAATGTGAAGACATTCCGCAGTTTATAAGGAAACAGGCACTACATGAGATTTTTTTAGTTCCAGATTGTTTAGTGTAGGAAGGGGGATCTTTCTTTGTTGGCTGCATATGGGCAGGGCTGGAGCTGATCGTGGGCAACACTACAGCCTAATTCTCTCTTTCTATCAACTGCTTTTTCACTGCATAAGCATTGGCACTTATAGTTCAATGTTAGAAATAGATGAACTGATTTTCTGTGCAATTACCATGGTTTGTGGCAATATTTGAACTTTGCCGCATATTTTGCATGTGGGAGAAACAACCCTCAAACAATCCATACCTTGTTACTGGGTAGTTTCCCCCTCTAACTTGTTAGTCATGCTTTTAGGCTGGGCAGGAAGTTAGGCAAATGGTGCTTGGCCCACATTAATAGACATCATGGCTTATTTAAGTCACAATGGTCATACAAAACTGAGGCTATATGTGTGTGAAGTGTTTTTACTAGTCAGAACACAAGGGTTTTAGATGAAGATGGATAATGAATTTTGAAACTCTTAATCCATCAAACTCTTGGGAGAATTTTTAATATTGAAGCAGTTACCAACAGTGGAAACAGTACATGCAGGAAAAGAAGTAGAACCACAAAAGACTCATTTTATATAAGCCATCCTTTCTGGAATAATATCCTGCTTTTTAACGAAGAATAATCATCAGCTGCTTTCAGCAAAAACAGCTCTAATTTCTTCCTAACATGCATAATCTTTTGATAAGTAGCAGGATTTTGAGAGATGGAATGCATAATTTTGCTTAATTCACAAGATTTATTTGTAAAGGATTCAAATTAGTTTTGATTATGACACAAATATAGATTACTTTAAAACATTCCTGATCATAGTTTATGCAACAGAAATGACTTATTAAAATAGTTCTTGTATTTTTATAGTTGTCAACTAATTCTGACTCTCTCTTGCCTAAACCTGCATATTTGTTCCCAACACATTAGAAATAAGTTAGTATCTGGAACATGATCTGTTTATAGATAACATTAGAAGGTTATTGAGACTGTCCTATGCAAGGAAAGCCTTTACAAGAAAAATTAATGACAATGTTTTTAACAGTGTGCAATTGTCTCAAGCAATTACTTTTCGTCATATCTGAAACATGTAAATCTTAGAGATTCTGCTTTATTTCTGTGATACTAATATTGAAATGCATGTTTATTTTACAGGATTCTCCAGTTGCTTCAAAGATTAGTTTTTCAGAAAATGAATCCTCTCCTTCTTCACCAAAGCATCAAGCCACAGTCAGTATAAATGTTGTAATGTGTATAATGTTAAGCATATTGAGACAAAGCTAGAGGAGTCAAAGGTGTGTGTGTTCTGAACACATGTACAGTACACAGGCTTTGGCTACATCTTCAGACTTAGTTAACAAGGCAACTTCTTAGAAGCATTCATCTCCTCACACTGATCTGGTTTGCACATAATGACAACCCAAAGCATGGTTTCACTGAATTGTGTATTATTAAATGTGAACCCTATGCAGTGGTGATGCACACCCTGACTGAAGTATGATATTTTAAAGTTATGTGTTATCCAGGATGAGTACTTAAGAGTTTCCCTTACTGTAGCTCAGTTTTACAGAGTGCCCATCCAAATTTGTGCTGATGAAGTAATGTTAATTCTCTTTGGGGTGATAAATGACCTCATGTGTTTTGTATTTGGCTACTAGAATTGCTTTCTCTAACTACTGCTCTATGAAAATTGGCGTGCAATCTTAACAGTATTTCTTTAATATGAGGAGAATAATGTTTCTAATGAGTCATACTACTTGAACTTTAAAGAAACAAAAATCTCAATACCGAAGAGAGAATTTTATGGTTGTTAAACAAGCTCTGTAGTGAACATAGGATAGTATGGATTTCCCTGTTGATTTTAGAAAGAGGGAGCTGGAAATCAGCCCTCACATAGTTAGCATGAAGAAAACTTGTACTGGTTGCCAATCCAAGATCAGAAGTTCAAACTCTAAGCATGGGAACCTATTGGGCAGTGTTGGGAGAAAGTCACTGAGGCCAGGGTGCAGTGTAAGCCTAAGCCACTTCCAACCACCTCCTCTCCCCCTCCTAAGTGCTCTTGCTAGGTGGGCTAAACAACAGAGAATGGAAAGGCAAAGATCACCCTCACCACCTCTCTTATTCTGCCTTTTTTAGTCTAGTAGGGAATAGGAATCTCAGAAGCCTGCAGTTTCAGAGATGTCTGAGTAGTGAAGGCACAAGTCTTAGGACTGTGCCTTTAATCACTTAGCATGCAATAAGTCTGATTTACCACGGAAATGAGTAACACTGTGTGTGGATAATTGGGTGGCTTTTCCAATGGATCTAGTAGTCTGTGCTGTGAGATGTTTACCATACAGAAATTTTGATAGCAAATGCTACTATGGATACATTGTAAACTCAGTAATGTTGCTGATCACTGAAACGTTGAACAAAATAGGAACTCTCAAAGACTTGGATTAGGAGTTCATTAAAGATAGTACATAGATGTACTATGATTTCTCAAACTTCAACCTTAAAAGCTAAAATACAGGGAAAGGATATTTTTAGGAAGAGTTTCTAGTAGTCATTGGCAAGATCATCCTTGCCAGAAGTGCCGCCAGGCAATTGTCAAAAAAGATGTGTCTTCAGGTAACTTGACAGAAGTTTTATAAAAGTGTGTTTTTATCTTTTTAGGCTACAAATTATAAACACATGTAAGAGTAGGCAAGTGGGTTAGTAAAAAAGAACAACGTGCTAGTAATTTTTGGACTCAGGTTTTTAAAACTTTCTCCCACTGAAACTAAGGGAAGGAAAATTTCCAGTGCCACCTTAAGGCTGGTGTAGTTGAGGGGCCTCTTGAGGGGAATGAATGGATTGAACTCTGCCACTTAGAACACCCCATGTGAATTACTGCTGGTGGTAATCCCATGCTAAACAGACCTTTCTTGCAGGCATGTGGGAGGTAGTCAGGGAACGGGCTGCTCCACAAGCAAAGCTCCTCTCCCTGACAAAAGGACACTTCCAGCCCATCCTCAGTGTCTTCAGCAAGATTTTGGCAGGGGCTTGAGTTATTCTGTCCTGCTACAGTCTTGCACTTATCTGGCAGTAGGTCCCATTGAATGCATTGGGAGTGTACAGGGGTGTACCGTTACTAAATTCTCAGGACCATATTTCAGCAGCTAAGCTATCCGCCTTTTATCTTTTCTTGAAAGTGTTTGTAAAAGGGGACAAATAATATTCTTTTGTAAAATAACAGAGAACTATTTCATTACTGACTTTATTTTCATTCTCTTCTCCAGGACCAAGAGAAGTATGGAATATTAAATGTTACAAAAATTACAGAAAATGGCAAAAAAGTTCGGCAAGTATCAATAATTATTTATATATAACGAAAGCCATAGGTCTTCTTTTATTTAAAAATAACTCCTTGTATAAAATTGTGCATAGATTTATTAATAGTTATTTTAGAATAAAACTTGAATGTTAGAATGTAGGTAAAAAGCTGTTCTTTTAAGACACAGTTTTGATTTTGTCAGACTAAAGTTTCAAATTAGGGAAGTGATGCAAAATTGCAAACATCCAGATTGTTACACCTCTGTATCAAAGTAAGCTGCATGGATTTCAACAGGAATTATAGAACTGAGCAGCATTTTATAGTCTGCCTTCTCTCAAGGAACACTGTTAAGAGGAGAGTTCTGAGTTACAGCCCGCTACCTTTGGAATTTCATTGGAATTGAGTAAAGAAACGCCTGTGCCATTCTGGCTGACTGGTAGGGATAGACTGGTATTCCATGCTGAAAACTAAGATTCTCTCTTCACAACATCTGAATGTGTGTGGCAGAATAAATAGTATAAGACTGTGAGTTCTGTAAGAAGGAACTAGTGAGTGATATGTCATTATAATTAAGTGTTGTTTTTATGTAATTTCATGTATCTATGGTTTAAGCAAACTAAATAGGCAGTTTATTAGTAATAATTATACATGTAGACTCAGTAATTCAAAGAATTGTTTATCAGGCACCATTGGACAATCTCATGACTGGATAAATGTACTTGACTTTACAAATATCTGCCTCTTCTATAGAAAGAATTGGATGTCGTCATGGGCTGTATTGCAGGGGTCCTCATTACTGTTTACAAAGACTCAAGGAAGCGGGACCGGTTGGGTAAGTTTTAAAATATTTTCTAAAGAATCTGTTCATTATCTGAATCTGTTCAAATCCTTCCCTCTCCAAGCTGAGAGAACTCAAAATAGGGCTTAGTGAGCATTGTCAGAAGTGTCCAAGGTTCCCAAGGTTAGTTAAGCCAAAACAAAAATAGACCACTTTTTCAGGGTTAGGAGGTCCTTATCTGCTTTGAAAATAAATGTAGTAGAGGCAGTGGTTCCGAGTTTTTCTTGATGGTGCTGGAATTTGAAATGAGGTATGTGACTAGCCACTTTCTGTATCTTTGTTCTGTGGCACTGGTAGCATAAGCTTTTCTTTTTACAGGTATCAGCAAGCAGAGTGGAGCTGTCTAGCTGTGCCTCATTTGTCACATACAAGATGCTGTATTCTGTGCTGCTAAAATTTATATTGGGTTCACACCAGTGTTTCACTCACAAACATTTGCTTAGATTTGTAATTAAAATGAACTGCATAGCTAATAACTGTCAGACAGAACTGTAGCTGCTGACTGGTTCTTCACTCTTTAAGCAGGCTCTGGAAGATAATAGATGTTAATCACCAGTTCTATTTAATGAACTCTCTTCCATTGCATTTAGTCAGTTCATTTGAAAGTCTGCTTGAAATTCTTTGCTTACTATCATAGTACCCAAGCTGACCATAGGAACATAAACTGCAGCCAAATATAGTCAGACTGCATTTGGAAAATCAGCACCATCACTGAATGGTAAGGTGTCCCTTGATCATTGAAGCTCACAGTATATTTAATTTGTGCTTCTTTGGTGTTTTAAGTGGAAAACAGTGTTAAATAAAAGTGTTAATAATATTGGGGGTTTGATACTCTGTGTACCATATGTGAACATACCACAACACCAGAGCTCAGGTTTGAAGAACAGATAACTGGTAGCAACTTAATTATCCAGTGTGCAGTACACACCTTTGTTCTTCCTCTTATTCTTTCCACTTTAAGGATGAAAAACTGTTGACAATAGGACAACAAACTCACCCAACCAGACAGCACTCCCTCCTGCATGCACACACATATGCATGTGTGTGCATACACCCCCCCCCCCCCGTATTTTCCTGGAAAGTGTAGAGATTATACAACAGATACAAGAGGTTGATACAATGGGATGATAGGATGAGGAAAGTAGTTTGCTCAAATCATAATCATGAAACTGTGCTACTGAGATAGTGACAGCAGGCTGCCATGAGACTGTATTTTTTATGGATCATGGGACTTTATTGTGGCCATGTGGACTGAAAGCTTGTCTAATATCTTAGCTCTCTAAGAAAATAAGTCATCAGTGTTTTTTTTCCAGAAGTTTGGGGTCAACCAGTCAAAACCAGAGTTCACAGTTGATCTCAGAGGTGCATTTATTGATTGGGCTACAAAGGAGAAGTCCAGCAAGAAGAATGTGATTGAGGTGACTTTTCTACTTTTTGCCAGACTTCGTTTTTGGTGCTACATTAAACACAGGGGCGGGGGGTGGGGGTGGGACTGGGGACTGTTGAGTCAGGCATTACAAATCTGTAGAATATAATCTGTACAATTTAGAAATCTTATAATTGTTAGTTTCCATTAGGTTTTGTCTTATTGATACGAAATTTGGGCAAGTATGGAGGCAAAAAAGAACAATCATACTCTTAACATTTTCATAATAGATGCAATGTAATTGATGCAGTGCAAGTGCTAGTGGGGTACATTTTGTGGGGGTCAGGGGAAGAGAATTGAAATACATACTTTAATTCTAATACCCAGATATGTTTATTTTAAAGCTGAAAACACGGCAAGGGACAGAATTGTTAATTCAATCGGATAATGATATTTCTGTTACTGAATGGTTTAAAGTCCTTAGTTCTACTATCAGTAATCAGGTAAGTACTGAAAATTCTTTCTCTCTCATGCCTGAAAATGTGCGCCGGCTGAAGGACAAATACTTCAGTTTGAAATGATCAATTACAGCAATAACAAATCAGAATACAGAACTGACTCAGCATTTGCTTTCAAAAGTTCAGGCAGAACAGCAGCTAAAGCAGCTTTGGGTTATGGATGAGAAGGGTAGCAGGGTTTGGGCCTTTGTTTATGTATAGCATTCCTTCTACATTGGAAAGATGGGTACCTATGGAAGATGGGGAAACACCCCCACCTTTTTTTTGTTTTTTTTTTAAAAATGCAAAAGTGGAACACAATCTTGGTTTATAAATTATTTGTAATGATGTTTAAAACAAGGTGTTCCTTTATTACTATCCAGACTCTACTTCCCTAAAATGATTTCTAAAAGAGCAAACAAGTGACTAGAAGTCATGAGCTGAGACTTAAAAAAAAACCTTTCTCAAATTCCCAGCATAGTTATTGCTTTGAACCTTACAACAATTATTCATATAATGATATGAAGGTGCTGATGCTGTTAGTCATGCTATGCTTCCCAGATAGCATCAGTGGGAAGTCAGTGGCCACTTTGTCCAGAGAGCTGACCTTTTTCATTGTCGTCTGCCCTGGACAGAGCTTGGTTTGGGCAGTTCTTCCAAGGGCTAGCTGATTCCTGTGCTTGGAGCTGAGTGGAATGGACTCAGTGGGAGCTTCTAGGGGTTCCCGAAAGTGCCAGCTAAGTGCACTCTCAGCTTTGCTTGCTCCCTGATTTCCCTGCACCATGCAGGCAAAGGGCAAGCAGAGTGTACTATGCCAGAATCCCCTTGTTGCTTCCTATCTATTCCTGGATTGGAAATTCAAATGAATCTTTAGTAATGTCTGGTGGTTTTGTTGTAGCCTTCCTTAAACATAGGACTCTTGTCAATGTCATTTTCTTTGCCTGCAAGATATATTCTTGAGATTCCCAAATGTTGATGTAGCATTACAGAGAATGGCAGCATTATATGTTTTTGTAATAGGATTGTGGCACACGCGCGCGCGCGCACACACACACACCCACACACACACACACACACACACACTTGCTGCAGCTCTTCTTGCTCTGTTCAAAATTTGTTTCTGTTATCCATGAAAAAGACCTTCTCAACAGGATTTTTCTAAGGAAGATGCTTTTATACTTAGATTCTGGACTGCTTCATTATTAAAAAATTTTGCATGTGATTCACTCTGAAACAAAATTAGTTAGAATACTGTTACACAAATCTCATATATCTCAAGGTATATATGTGTTCTTTCAAATTAAGCATTAAACTATGGTAAAGAGCCTCAGGATTGATTTATATTTTTCTAAATAAATAATCTAATTAATATTTTCTCAGACTTACATACTGAACTTTGTACCCAGAGCTATTTTAATAATAAAAGGAAAAATGTAATATTTTTGTAATCCTAGATGTCATTTTGGTGACAAGAATGGGGCATCACATTTAATGCTAACATTAATTATTGTTATTTACTGTAGTTTAATACATAGTTCTTGATGAAACTGGCAATATCCTGAAAACACTGTTCCAGGTGTTGTGTTGCAAATATATAGGCTTACTGGGACACTGCCAACAGCTTTTGGAATTCAGTTTGGAATTGATACCTGGCACTGGAAGGAGGCCTACACAGATTACATCTAGATGAATGATTCAGCTAAAGATCTGACCTTAACAGAGAGTGTAGAGCTTTTAAAGCCTGGCAGGTCCTAGTGTTAGATTGACTTAACTGCCAGGCTCTGGCTTTCTGCCTGAGAAGACTTTTCCAACAGGTATTTCCAGTCCAACATAAGATTGTGAATCCATCCGGACCCATTTCTGTTTGCTGTACAGATTTTCAAAAATGCACCATTAAGCATGTACCTTATATACAACCTCATTCCATGCCAGGATGTTTCCTTACACTTTTGATCTTGGCTGGTTACAGCTTTTCCAAGCATCTGGGCAAGTCACCTGTATAACTCTCTGGAGGCATGGAAACTGACCACTCGTCTCTGCCAGCCCTTGTTGTTTGTGTTTGTGTGTACTTTGGTCTTTCCAGAAATGCCTGAAAAGCCAACAACAAGGATATGAACTGAACATATCCTCTTTTCTTTTTGAGAAAACTAGAAAAAATAGTTACAAAGTTAACAATTTCTGAACCAGGATTTCTGTCACACAAGCCAAGGATTCCATGGGACACAAGATTCTGCAAAAATTCTTTATTGTGGAGGAAGGGGAAGGCGAGAATGAGAAAACTAGCAGTATTTGTGCTTATTCCTCCCAGGAACTCAAAAGATTAATTATTAATTCCCCATGAGAGGATTGCTCAAGCAATTCCATGTAGCTTACCACTCCAAGCAGCCATGGACCACAAAATGGAATGAGGAAGGAGAGAGTGAGAATGGGTAGTATACTAACTTAACAATTGCAGGGCAATACACTTGCCACCAGTATAAGTGTACAGCCCAGGACATGTAGCTTGCACCAGTGCAAGTTCCACTTACAGAAGCTATTCACAGGCACCGTGTGGAGACAATTGAAAGTTATTTTTAACAGTCAGAAATGAAAACTTTTTCAAGATCATGGCATTTCAGTTTCACTTCATAATTTAGTGGCATTTTGAAATCATACTTACGGTATACTCTGTAGTAGTGTTAAAAATGAAGGGTATTCTTAATCAGAGGAGCTATTAAACTTTATAAGATGACTAATTGATTTTTTTCTAACTCTCGATAGACTATAGAGTCTGATGAAGCATTAGATGATGATGTGCCAGATTCTCCTGGGGTAGAAAAACAGGACAAAGAAAAGGACCATAAAGACTCTAAAAAACTGCGCTGTAAGTTGCAATTCCAAAGTAAACATATATACGTTTTACTTATTTTGACCAATGTGCTTTCCAAACAATAATTATATGCAAGCAGTATCTTGTGGCTGGAAATACTTCCTTGATAATTCAATAATACCAGCCATATCAGCTCTGGCTCTGCTGATGAGTTTCATTTGTTGACATTTTAGGACATGGTGTTGCAATCTATCTAATCAACCCTTGTTCATCTAGGCTTATTTCAGCTAGAGAAGCAAAAAGCTCAGTCACTAGTGGTCATTGATGCACATTTGAGAGAGGGTAACAACCATCAGGTTTGAGGGAGACAGCAGTGGGATTTGAGTCCTTAAGATCTAGTGAGTTTAGTGTCAGATGCCTCTTTTATAGGTAGAGTGGTGAAGCAGGCAGTTGCCTGTCAGGTCCAAATGACCATGAACCTGAATCACAAAGCTTATTCTTGACAGTCATTCTGAGGGATTGAAAGGGGGAATGTGACTATTTTGCTTCTGAGAGCCTTAGTGGCTTTGCTGCTGTTGACTGTGGTGTCCTTTTAGTTCAGCTTGTGGCACTAGACGCACTGTTTCTTGTAGTTTTTCACTAGAGTTTTCAAAAGGGTGACTTGGGGAACCATTTTTCCATGTGGAAATTCACTTGTAAGGCTCTGCCTTTATATGGATCTGTTTTGTCCCCCATTCTTTTTGAAAGTTATAAGAAATTTTTAGATGGAGATAAGCCAGAACTCTGGACAGGAGTGTTGGATTCTTAATAAAACCCTGCTTTATTTCTGCCCCATCTGTCCCAGTTGCAGTAGTTAAATCCCTGAATGGCTGAAGTTGTTATCAGACTAGGTAAAACTCAGTCTGGACAGAACAGAGTTGCTCATGCTGGGTAATGGCAAGCCTAGTGATGTGACAGAAATGCCGGTTCTAGAGTGGATGAGAACAGGTTCAGAAGATTCAGATTCCCAAGTTGAAATTACTCAGAAGAACATTCTGTTTACTTTGTTTGATATATCAGTTAAATTCCTTCCTGAAAGAGTTGGCTGAGTTACTGTGCCTGGTAATATTCCATGTCCAGCAATCCAGTGTATGGAATTTAGGTTCTGCCAGACGGTCTTGGACTCCATTGGTCCCAGTTGGTCAGGGATGATGGAGCAACATCTGAAAGGCCACAGGTCTCCCATTCCTTGTTTAAAGATTTGACTATAGTATATTAGTCAGTTGGCATACTGACAGACATAGCTTCCAGATGGGGAAATGGAGAAATGGAACAGTCACTTTCATTATGTCGTCTTCTGGATGAATGCAGTTATACCCATACCATTAGGGATGCTGCATTCCATGCTATACAGTGAAGCTCTTCATTGGAAGATAGCTTCTGTGCAGTTCAGATGATTGTCTGTGCTATGCAGTATAAATCCATACATGTATTAACTTCTGTATGAGCTAGTACTTCAGCCTGTGCTGTTGTGTGTCTTTATGTTGGGGTTTCAGTTTCTTCCTGTAAACCTTAAGAAATGGCTTAGTTCAGTGTTAATGTAGTTGACAACATGAAACAGACCCCATTCGAATTAGAAAAGTAGCCCCATTTCTTCTTCAGAAGATTTCATTTTCCACACTGGCTATGTTTGATAAATTAGAACAAAATACTGAGCTTAAAATGTTTGTTTTAATAAATAATCTATTTGCATTACTTTCAGCAATAAAACTGTCAAACAGTATTGATTGTTCAGAGCAGAAGAAAACTAAAACAAAATTGAAGAAATTTTTGACCCGCAGACCTACATTACAAGCGGTCCGTGAAAAGGGCTATATTAAGGGTAATTGTTGTTTTGATAATATCTCTTGGTTAACAGGCTATTAATTCTGATTTCCTAGGTCAGAGCAATACAACTGTTTTCTTAGGAAATTGCAGAGAGGTTGTGACCCTTAGCCTGGTATCTTTACATCTTGGTAGGTGCACACTGAACATCCGTGCTGCAACAAGATGTAGAGGATGATTTGATGATTTAAAAAAACTTGTCAAAGCAGAGCTTCTTTTTGATCCCTAGAACCCACCCCAAAAGAAAACACAATCAGGACCTTTTCAAATACAAATACAAAAAGAAAATGTCTTCCTGTCGTGGATAGCTCCACACAAACATGGTCACATATTTGTTTTGTAGAAGGCTTTTGATCCTTGGTGCTAAATCACCATGTTGTTGTACTTTCCAGTGAGGCATGAGATGAAACCTGGAAAAGCAGGTAGCTAACACTTCTGTTTTAAAAATAAAATGAGTGTTATTAATGGTTCAGATTTTCCTTGAATTGGACATCTAGATACTAATTTAACAGCAGACAACTCTTTTAAAAACCAATTCTATGGGAGTGCTACAGTTTTTAAATGTTTTACAGTTTGTGACTTAGGGATAAAATGTCAGCAGGGAAATTATTTTTAAAAATCACAGAAGAGACTTGAAAAATGATGGGGTCTGACTTAATATAATACAACATTAAGCACCGAGGAACCTGAAAAGCACAGTGTGCCTCTGTTTATGAGTTTAATTATCATTTGCATCAATTCTCATTCTATACAATTCTGAAAAGGTCAACTCAAATGCTTCATAAACTGTATTTCTTTCTCTGTTCTTCAGATCAAGTATTTGGTTGCAATCTAAGCAGTTTGTGTCAAAGAGAAAACACCACTGTGCCAAAATTTGTGAAGCTGTGTATTGAGCATGTTGAAGAACATGGTAGGAGGAAGATATTATTTCTTGCTTTTTTGTGCTAGATTTTTTTTAAGAAGCCAAATAGCTTCATAACATTTCATATGGCAGTGCATGCAAATACTCTGCGCAAGATACACATTTGGGCAGGGATAGACAACCTTTTTGGGTGCAAACATGGCAGTGTGAGAAGCCATCTGGGTACTTCCTACACAAATGGTGTGCTGCAGAGGAAAGCCTTGGCCTGCAACTCCCGCCATCTTTGTTTGCAAAGAATGTCCCTGAGCCCCACATGTGGCCCAGAGGCATTCCTTGCATAAGAAGATGGAAAGGACTTAGCTTTAGAGCAATCCTGGCTGTCAACGAGTAACTTAATTATTTTAAAAGTACATAAAATAGAAGGATAAGGGCACCTTGGCAGGTACCAAGAAAACTGTCGGAGGGCATGTGGCCTGTGAGTCCTATGTTGCCCACCTTTGAAGCTGGGCATAGTAGTCTTTCTGTTTAAAAAAGTTTGGCTCAGCATCGGTTCCTTCTCATATTCTGGGAGCTTCTTGTGTAGAAACTTTAGAAACCATTATTTTCTATTTCAACTATTCCTGCACAATAAATGAATGCTGGCTTTCCCAGGAGTCCAGTAGATGCATCATATACCACAGTTGTAATGAAGCTGTTCTTACAGTTCTGCTGGTTTCATGTTTTATGGTGTAATCCTGTATATATCTCCTGAGAAGCAAGTTCCACTGAGTTCAGTGGTAATTTACTTCCAGGTAAATGTGTATTTGTAGCCTGCATGTGCTCGGGTGTTATTTGTTTTAACACAACTGCAAGGCATTCTGTGAGTGGTAACCCTGAAGGATGGATATAAATCCCTAAATATATTAAAATGTCCCTGAATAAAGGGGCACTGTATTGATTTCACACCATACTTACGATGATTGCTTGCTTAATCAACTTTAATGTACAATTTTTCTAACTTTAATTTACATTTATAATCCTAAAAAAGCATCCTTAGAGCCCAATCATAAGCAAATTTGCTCAGCCATAATCCAGGTGTTGCAACCTTAGTCCATATTTCAACCTCAGAATTAGGCATAAGCCTACGTCTAGATTTATGACCATGAGGAAATGGACAAACATCAGTCCCTACTTTTTCCTGTTGCTCAGTATAAATGATAGAATACTGACAGTCACCTAATTTGTGTTGTATTTAGTCCTCATAATGCAATTCTGATCTCTCTAGAACTGTTACTGGGTGTAGCAACTCAGCCGCTATATTTCTGAGTGTGACCAAATGTAGAGACCGCCAAAGCTAAACCAAAGCTTAATCTTGTTTAAATGGTAGAAGCAACCATCATAACCATAGTGTGAAATCAAAACAGTGCCACTTCATTCAGTGACATTTTTGTATATTTAGGGATTTATACCCATCCTTTAGGATTATCACTAATTTAGCACCATTATTTCCTGTTGGGTGACAACATATTTGAGAGAACTTCTCTTTCTGTGGGGTCAGATTCAAATACTCACTCAGCATGACGTGGACGAGGATATGTGTTCCAAATGAAAATGGTGCCACCTTCATCTATTCCAAGCTTGACAGCTTGTGGCAACGGTGCCATTAGAAAAAAGAATGGACAATACACTGATAATCATCCTCCATGGTCTTGCTGAAGCAGGCTTTCTGAGTAGTTCCCTTTCCCTGATACTTTGAAAAGTTCTGTCTACTAATCAGTATGTAAATTAAGTATCTTTCAAAAACTGAGCTACCCTAGGGGGTTACCCAAGTACTGTAATACTGAAACCTGTCTTGTATTACACAGTCTTGCATATGACTTCTGGAGGCAGTGGGTAGCACCAGAGAGAATTTAGGTATGTCAGCACAAGGGGATGATACATGATCAGACCTAATATGTTGTAGGAAGATGACTTACTGAACAAAATGCTTAATTCGTTCTAGGATTGGATGTTGATGGATTGTACAGAGTTAGTGGCAATCTTGCAGTAATACAGAAGCTAAGATTTGCAGTTAATCATGGTAAGTTCCTATACATAACAATCACACAGTAGATTTAAAATGATTGCATACCTGGCCGGTTGTACAGCTCAACAGAACAGGTCTCAACCTCAGGTGTGTTTGCATGTCATGACAATTTATGCTAGCTGTAAGCCACAGTGGGTTGGTGGTTGAGCAAAGAACCCATAGTGCATCCAACAGACAACTGAGCTTGCTGTGGGGTTTTGGCCTCTCTTGGCCATGATTGCAAGCCTGTTTTTTAAACTTACTGCTGTGTGTGTGTGTGGGGCGGGCACCCATGCAGCAGTAATTGCCATAAAGCGCTGCTTGGGCACTTGTGGGACAGTGCCGCTGGCAGTGGCCTTGGCAAGAGGGCTTTGCCATTCTTACAAAGTGACTTGCTGGCTGGCTCCTGGCACCCACAGTGGGACTGATCACCCGTATTTAGGCAACCCATAGAACCAACTGTAGCTTGTCAGAATGGCTTGTTGCCATCAGCAAACTCTTCTGTGGGAAGTAATCCAAGTTTGAATGACATGACAAACTATGATGGGTTGTCTTTTTGTGTAAATCCAGTCATTATATTTGGATTATGAAACAGAAACACTGCATTTAGGTTGGTCTTGGAGTAAGCTGAATTGCCTCTCAGAATTTTTTTTTTTTTAGTTTTAACTTGCATATTTTCTCAGAATATCCTATCATATCTGAAGAAGGAACTGTGGCAGTGAAAGCTCATTATGATGTGATGGCTGCATTTTGTCTAAGCTAATGAGTATATTTCTCCTCTTTTAGATGAAAAACTGGACTTGAATGATAGTAAATGGGAAGATATCCATGTCATTACAGGAGCTCTAAAAATGTTCTTCAGAGAGTTGCCAGAACCACTATTCACTTATAGTCATTTCAATGACTTTGTCAATGCGATCAGTAAGTCTTTACCAAATAAACCTCTCACTCTAAGACAGTTTTGTACAGCAGTTTCAGAGCAGCAGTTGTGCTGGATGGATGTACACAAATAATAGACAGGGCTACAAATCAGGAAGTCCCCTGTTTGAACCTCACTTTGGTCATGAACTTGTCTTCGTAAACCATTTTGTCAACTGCAGCAGCTTCTATCCATCTCCAGTGTTGTGATAAAAGAGACATGCGATGCAGGAAAGGCGCTTTCAATACTCTAATACACTAAATAAATATGAAACCCTCTGGCATTTTAAAAACTAAGGGCACATAAGGAAAAGTCATGCAGCTGCCAGCATGACCCGCTTGTAGGACTTTCTTTTGTCTAAACATGTACCTTAACACGTTTGTATTGACATGGGTCACTTAACTGGACACGTGTGTCTGTATCTTGAGTGCAGACAAATGAAGAAAAGTATTTTACTATTTTTAGCCAGTGAGGTCAAAAGATTAAAAAATGCAAGTGTTTGTAGTATTACTCAGAGCATGAATCTAAACAAATTATTGTGGAATCCAAACTGCATGTGTGACCCAGCTATGTCATGTGATAATATGTTCGTTGCCAAGTCGTGTCCGACCCATTGCAACCCCATGGACGACATTTCTCCAGGCCATACCACTAGTCAGACCCAGCTGACGAGTGGTCACTAATAATGGATCTGTATAGCAGGATGAACAGTGTAAATAAAAGCTAAAGTAGTATGGCTGTTTTCTGAAATGAACTGATCATTCCCGTAATTCATTGAAATCAAGTTCTGCAGCATAACAGTTTCTAAAGGCTTCTAATTTGGCAACTTAATTTACTGTCTGCTACAGAAAGTCCTCGAAAATCACAGTTTTTAGGTTTTGCCTAAATTCTGTCCATTGATTCCCTTGCTTAGCAACTGCTCTTTGTAAAAGGGAGGCAGGTCATTTGTTGGCATGTGATAAAAAGATGTTCAATTTTATCTTCAGGGTCTAGTGTGGTTTTGTTTATATTATACTCGCAACAATAATTACATCTCAGGTGACCACTTCATAGATCTTGTAAATTGTGTTACTGCTTTTGATAACTTAATGCCTCGATAAAGTGGCTAATCTTTAAGAGGCTACAGAACTCTTAGACATTAATGTTGCAACAGTTTAACAAAAAGATTATAGGGGGTTGTGGGTTGAGTAGCAATGTTAATTTTGGCCAGTAGGTGGTAGTACATCTACATAGTACATAATGTCAGAATCCAGTCATAAACAGTAAAAAGCAATGTACATTGAAGTTGTCTTTTCCCTGCTATTCAGAGCAAGAGCCTAGACAGCGTGTTCATGCTGTAAAAGATTTGATTAAACAGTTGCCAAAGCCAAATCAAGATACCATGCAGGTGCTCTTCAGACACCTCAAGAAGTAAGTAGTGCATGGATAAGAAATGTGACTTATTCAGTATTTCACATAACCAATGAAGAAACAATTTCATCATGCGTTTCTGTTTTCCTCATAAGGTCACCTTGCCCTTCCTGTCTTATCCCTTTATAGCTACCTTCCTGAAAAATGAATACAGGCATGGGGGGGGGGGGTTAAGCCAAACATAGTGTACATTTGTGATCTGGGGAGGGATTGGGGAAGAAATATATTCTTAAGCAAGCTAACTGTCAGTGGAATGCCTCAATTTGTCTTGAAGAAGGTGCTGACGTGTAGCTGCCTGCCTCAAGATCAAGAAATTGTCAGTGCAGACAGGCAGTCATGTGCAAGCCTGGATTGCTCCATATAAAACTATGCATGGGAAAGAGACTGGCCAGCCATTGCTGGGGTAAAGCATGTCGAAGTCCCTGTTGGGAGCACTTATGTACAACTTGATATGAGGGAAATTCTTTTGGTAACTGCCCATCATGTGAACTCTGGTTTGAAGTGCTTTTTCTTTTTTCATTCTTCACTTTTTCAAAGAATTGTTGAAAATGGAGAGAAGAACCGGATGACCTATCAAAGCATAGCAATAGTCTTTGGTCCAACCCTCTTGAAACCAGAGAAAGAGACTTGTAACATAGCAGTGCACACCGTGTATCAGAATCAGATTGTGGAGTTAATCCTACTGGAACTGAACTTCATCTTTGCACGCTGAATTTCTCCAGTGGAATTGGCCATAGTAGGACAACAGCATGGCTCTGGCAGAAAGTGCATCTCTTCTGCATGTGGTGTATTTGTGGACCAAGCAGCAACCTAATGTTTTTGCACTTTCGTGGGAGAGGGAAGAATGTGGGGGTTTTCAAACAAACCTTTTTGTGGAAACTATTAAAACTTTGGATTTCTTTACACATGTTGTTATGAATATTTCAAGGATTATATATTTTAGTAACACTTACACTGCAGGTCTAATATAGATGTACACACTGGATTCCATGGTGAGAGAAGCTAAATCTAAATCTCAGTCTGGGTAATCTGGAACAGCTTTTTAGCATTGATTTTTAATTATAGGTTTACCACTTGCTTTGGGGGAAATTAACCCCATCAACTGACTTGGAAAACTCTATGGGCATTTTTAGTGAATGATTACATGATATACTTACACGTTAAACTTGTAAGGTAATTCCTGTGTCTTTTTCACAAGGTTTTGGTATTCACTTGACGGACTTAAATAAATGCTAACAGTGGCCAGTGTATATTCTTTAAATGAGGTTTGCTTTTATGTTGTTGTTTAAATTTTGTTGCACAGGCTGTTTCTGGTTCTCTTGAATGCACATTTGTATTACTTCAAACACTGAACTGGTACACATATCCAAGGATATACTGCAGTCTGTGATGAGTTAGAGCTTTCAACTAATAAAGATGTTCTGTTTTTCAGGTTCTATTTTGAATTACAGTTTTGTCTGAAATTATATCATACCTAACAATCCTAACTAAAAGCTTAATTTTAATATTGTTCTGAATTCTCAGTATGTATCTGTGGTAGTGAATGTAAATACAGATGGAAACCCAACTTTAAACAAAAATCTATAAACAGTGTTGTATAATCTTAAGTACTTCCTAGCCCTGTATTCTAATCATGTGTAGATTAGTAATGGATATTGTGATGCCTCAGATGGAGTTTTGTTTTCTACAGAGAAATGGGCAACTTGGGGGAGAAAACTTTGCACTTTTAGGGTGCAATCTTATACAATTCCAGACAGAAAAATACATTTTTCCCTGTCTAAACTTGCATAGGATTGTGCCTTTAAATGCTAATCACATCTGCATGAAAATCATTGTAATACAAATGGTACTGGAAAATACTGAGTGTGCTTGCTTACATGGTTAATGCACTACAAGCAGAGCCACTGATGTTATTTAATATGTACAGGAGCTTCATTAGATAAATGTATTCTAACATCTATAAATAGCAAAGCCTATGTTTGAATAGATGGATGTCTGGATATAATGAAAATGCTATATTTCAGGATTCCTTTTTACGTGAATAATGTAGATTGATTTGTAAAATAAGTTTCAGAAGAATTTTGTTACAGGAGACGTGGTCTGCGGAAGATTTTTTAAAATGTATTTTTCTAGACTAACTGCTGTATCTGACATTTGCTATGTGGAATCTGAATAAAGAAAACTGTTAGCCATTTTGGAATTTGGTGCTCGAGATTTGGGTAGTATCATTTGTAAAAACTGTGGGTGCAAACGAACTACTTATCTCTCCACTGCTGTCTGTGTATGGTTTTAAGTGTCTCGGAGAATTACCTGAACCAAAGCTTGGCTGCAGCATTCTGCCCCACCTGCAAGTTCACTTTCAGGGCAGTCCCAGCCATGAAGGCCAGCCATCAATCACTACCCATGTGTTGAGAATAGAAATTACCTTGTAACATTGCTCAGCAAGATAAGAACAAAGCAGAGCGGGTCAAAGCCAGTGTGGTTTAGTGGTTTAAGTGCTGGACTAGAACTGGGTGACTCAGGTTCAAATCTCCATTTATCCATTACGTGAGTTTGGTTTAAGGCCCTGTAATCAGTCATTGGTTAAGCCAGATGGAAAATGCATATCCCTTTAGATATTGCTGTACTACAGTTCCTTCCAGCCACAGCAAGTGGAGAGAGCTGATGGCAGTAGCAGCCCATCAATATCTCGAAGCCCACATGGTCCCCATCCTTGGCTTCAGCAAAGATCATCCGCCAGCTCCACTGAAGCAAATTCACTTGGGTTCCTCCTCAAGCTTTGGGACAGAAGCAGGTTTAGAAGTCTATTTTGACGAATACACTTGAAGCTGTTCATTTACTGATCAACTGAACTGATGTGTTCAGTTATGTTCTCAAGTTATAGAAAGCTCAGAAAACTCTCAGTCACTTGGCTCAAATAACTTCTTAATTGGGAACACTATTTCACTCTACTTCATAGTTTCTTGCTTAGAGAGCAACTGATAAATCTCTGTAACCTACATGGTGGCAGTCTCTCACCTACTCAGCTAGGACAGGTAAGGGTCACACGTTAGCTGAATTTCTCCTTGCATGGTGTCCACATTCTTGGGTAATATGACTCAAGCAATTCATTTAAAGAGACCAGGCATTTTTTATTTGCATTCTCTTTCAACTCTAGTTTGGGGCAACTGTCTACAATTCTCTTTTTCTTTTAAGGCATAGTTTGAAGGCCACAAAACATACTTTCTGTGCAAGAGATGCCAGATTCAATTCTTGGTTTCAAAATGATCTTGAATACCAGCGCTAGCAAAGACCTTTGTCTGAGACCTTGGCGTCTATTGCCTGTCACAATAGACTGGATGAGCTGGATGGACTAATGGTGTGATTTGAAAGCTATGAAAGATCCCATAGGAGGCTCCCCTATACTGTGACAGCTGCTTTCTGAATCCCTGAACACAACATATGTTGTCAGCTGGTGCATATTGTGCAAGAAATTATATTTTTATTTGAGCTGCAATGGCAAATTTATGAAACATTGTAGAAAAAACTTGCACACACCAAACTGGACTTATGAAGTATTAGCATAGATTAGTGTTTCAGAGTAACTTGAGTTGAGCATTATTTTGTAATTAACATATCAAAGCCATCAGTTCTGACACATAAGCATCAATGGTCCCAAAGTGTGGCTGTGCCTCAGAACAAATGACTTGCTAACTCAGGCCTTGATTTGCTGGAAATGGCTGCATTGCTTTGCTTGGGGTGGGGGCAGTGAAGCCACTAATTAGTGACATGCAACTTACCTTCCAAATTAAGTAACTTTGCATGGTTGTTGAGGTCTAACAACAAGACTGAACCTGAAGCTATTTTGATTTGATTTGAAAACTTGTACAATTAACATTTTCCTACTGTTTAAAGCTATCTCTTAGGATGTATTATCATGCAATCTCTTTTTTCTGCACTTTAACCACCAGTGTTATTGGAGACCATTATACAACTTCCCTTCTTAGCACCCATTCCCATACTGTGGATTTCTGACTCCTTAATGTACTTTGATAAATGAGAACAGGTTAGATGAAACTGCATAGTCAGAATTGAGCTTTGTTTTACCAGAGTGAACACTCAGTAATTACAGATGAAGTTAGACACAGCCATTTTTTGTGTGAGTAACTAGCTTCAGGCTGAGGAAAAAAGAGCAGCAATCTGTTGAAATCACTAATTTATACTCCATAAACTTTGGCTGGGATCAGTTGGACACAACTGAAGAAGGGGCCAGTTACTGAATGTCTAATGAAGCATTCCGAAGGCACGCAAGAGAAGGGAGCTGCTCCAGGGAATCTTAATGAGCTTCCACAATTGCAGGGCTGTGTGGACCAGCAGCTGCTGAGGCTGTCTTTTTGCTGGATCAAGCCCTTACAAAAAAGCCTGCCTGACTAATAATGAAGCTTAAGTGAATATTTTCTACATTTCAATTTAGTTTAAAGGGAGCATTTGTAAAGCAATCCATTTAGAAGAGGAACTCTCTGTGTATCTTTCTAGGCTTCTCTATTCCTGTGGGGAATAAGCTAAAATAACTATGCTAGAATTTTATAGTTATACAGTTTACAGTTACATTTTAAAGTGTGTGTGTATATATCTATAGTTGATCTTAAAAGCACTTGGCTTTGACTAGCACTTGTATTGCTCATTTCAGACTTATCAGATCTACAATAATATTTAGAGCTCCAGATAAACAAGAAATACTGTACACGCAGAACAAAACAGCTAGTGCATTTTCTTATTAGGGTTTGTAGAGAGTATGTTCATCCATTTAATCTTGGAAATATTTTTCCCCAGGAACACAAAAAATCCATCTTTTGATATTCTTATCCCAGTACCTTTCAAAAAGCAAGAGGCACCATGAATTGATCATAAAGCAGGAAGTTGCTTAGAAGCTATTTACTTCCTTCAGGTTCTTTACTGGTGACTTGCAAGAGGAGGTAAAACTGGAAGTGAGAATGGGCACTTGGAAATCAAAGCTGCAGCAGTGCTTGCAATCTGATCTTAAATAAGCTCTTACGCATCTAGAACATTTTTCTCTAGTGCTGTACAAAAGAATGCTTTTCTGTATTCTACAACATTTTGCTTCAAGGTGTAGTAAATTTGCACAGATTTTAGGCAGAGAACAGAGAAACTGCTGTCCAAAATTTACCCCTCTATTTGTTTCTTCAATGTGATAGCTAGACAACTGAATGGATTGTTAACACATCAAACAAGCTATGCCAGTGTTTTGAAACAATCTTTTAAAAAAGAGAACCCACAATACAGTGGTGCCTCGGCTCATGAATGCCGTGGTTCACAACCAAATCGGGTCAAGAACAAAAATGTCATGAAAATTTTGACTTGGGTCGTGAACTCCACATTAGGTGGCAACCAAGATCGCTGCCATCTCCCGCCCCCCCCCCCCCCGAGTGGGGAGATGGCCACGATCGCAGTTGCGTTTGTGCAGGGAAGATGTGTGTGATCACAGGCGTGCTCCTGCAGGAAAGACGGGTGCAATCCCGGCCATCTCCGCCCCCCCACAACCAGCATGATCACAGCTCCCCCCCCCATCCCAAGTGGGGAGATGGTCACGATTGCAGTTGTAGGGAAGACATAGAGGAGCTGATGACAGAAGAACTTGCTGAACTCCAGAATGAGCAGCAGAAGGCACTTGCTGAGGAGGAAGAGGAAGACAGGGAGGAGGTTAGCAGTGATGTGATACAATCTAATATGAAAAAATGGAATGTGTGCCAAGATTTCTTTGAGAAGCACCACCCCAACATAACTGTAATGAACAGAGTGTTGAATCTTATGAACGATAACGTGGTCTCTCATTTCCGGAGGGTTATGCAGCACAGGTAAAAACAAGTGATTATAGACAGATTTTTCACCAAAATTGACCCTGCAGCTAAGAGACAAAGAAGAGAGGAAACCCCTGAAAGATCTCCCAATGTCTTTATGGAGGGGGACTCTCCCTCAAAACAATAACCTCCCCCCCAACCTAGGTTAGTGTTCTCCACTGTACTGTACTGTACTTTGTCACCTTGTTGTTCTTTGTCACTTTATTTCAAACTTTTCTGATTCAAAAAAAATAGTTACAGAATGGATTAACCTTATTTACATTGAACCTTATGGGTAAATTTGACTTGGCTCGCGACCAAAAATTGACTCACAACCACATTCGGCGGGGCCAGAACAGATGAACCTTGTTTACATTGAATCTTATGGGGAAATTTGACTTGGGTCACAACCAATTTGGGTCACAAATTTGGAGAGCTGAGGAAATGGCGGTAGAAAGCTGGCCAGGCTGGAATGCCGGGCTCTTGTGAGGCCCTTCCTCATTAGCTTCTGGTAATCTCTAGATTAGATTACTGCAGTGTTCTCTACGTGAGTCTGCCCTTTAAGATGGTTCAGAAGCTGCAGCTGGTGCAGCATGCGGCAGCCAGAGTAATCACTGGGACCTCAAGGTCCGAGTATATAAGAAGCTGTATGCTTCTGGTCCCAATTCAAGTGCTGGTCTTGACCTATGAAGCCCTACATGGCTTGGGACTACAATACCTGTCAGAGTACCTCTTCCAACCCTGATCCACCTGGACACTACACTCAGCTTCTGAGGTCTTCCTCAGGTGCCAAACCCTTGAGAGACCTTTTCAGTGGTGCCCTCCCTTCTGGAATAACCTCCCTGCTGTGGCCCACCTGGCACCAAATCTGCCATTTTTTCAGTGCCAGGTTAAAATGCTGCTCTTTGTGGAGGCCTTCAAGAGCTCCTGGTCACTCAGGGGCCTAATACAATTAGTCAGGTGCCATTTACTGTTTCCAGGAGTTTTTTAAATCGACTTTTAACATTTTTATGCTATTTTAAATTAATTTTTAAATCTTACTGTTTTTATCTATTGTATTTTATTGTTCTTATATTTTGGTGTACACTGCCCAAAGTGCTTTGGCTATGGGTGGTATACGAATTAAACAAACAAACAAACAAAATTATTATTTCTACACTGCCAATAGCTGAAGTGCTTTGGGCAGATTACAACAATTCATAAAATATAAGAAAATCTAGAATAAAATATAGCTAAAAATAAAAAGATAAAATTTCACTACAAAAAATTAAAAGCAAATTTAAAACTGATCATGTTCCATAATTAGGAGGTTACTACTTTGAAGGACTTCTTGCAATCACCAACCAAGCCTCCCTTGGAAATGTCCATTGCAGGAAGGCTTTAGAAGTAATAAGTAAGTTCCTTTCCAAACTTAGAAATCATAGTACAATAAGCATCAGCAAAAAAAACCCTGATCCAAAAATTGGACCTACTAATCTTTCCAAGAGGGTGTTCGACTAGAGCCGTGGCCACCTCATCAGCATTGCGTGCTGGCATAGCTGTACAAGACTTATGCAAAGCTGCCACATGGTCCACTCCATGCACCTTTATTAGGCACTACCATTCATTCAAGACATTTGCGTGTCATCCTTTATGAGAGCCTCAGGACAGCTTACATGAATAAAATTGCAAAATTACCATCTCGACATAATGGCTAGAATGGACCTGCTCCTATGGTTGTGCCGTCCTTTCGACTGTCCTTAAATAACACTGTGCCACCTCCAAGTTCGGTAAGCTTGCTAGTCACCCGTATGTGTGTTGCACAGAGACCACGACAAAGAAAGGCAGGTTGCTTACCTGTAACTGTTGTTCTTCGAGTGATCATCTGTGCATTCACACAATCCACCTGCCGGCCCCACATCGATATTGGTGACTGGGTTCATATGGTATAATGTGCAGAACTTGTGTGTGTGATGCACAGATGACCTATTCCAACTCATTTAGAGAGATGTATTGCATTTTAAAAATATATTCTTATAGTATGTGATAATTTGGCCCCATATAAAAGCTTTACTTGCCTCCCACTCAGGTATGGAAGAAGCAACAGTATCCTCTTTAATTTTAAAATACTTAAAGAATTCAGCATCAAACGGATTTTTAAACACCTCACCATTAAGAGAAACATTGAAGACCTGGATGAGCGGGAAGTCTCGACAATTCTGAACATTGCCACTCCAAGCAGACTGGGGCCCAGCATAAGACTACCAGCAAATCCATCATACAAACATCTATTTGACAGAACAAAAATGTAGAAACCCAAAAATAATCAAAAGCAGTTATGATGGACAGGTGAAATTAAGATGTATGCTTCCTTGTGAAGATACAAATTTTTCCAAACGTCCATCAAACTGTGTTTAGTCATATCTGCCTGAAGTGTAAATTTCACCCTTGTTTGTCTCTTGGGAGCAGTCATACTCTTACCAGCAATGAATCTAAATTCTCATTTAAATATCTACCGACAATCAAATAATCATAAAGAATATCAACTAATTTGCTAAAAAATTCATAAAACATAACTGGAGCATCATTGTTAGGCTTAGATGCATTAATCATGGCAATTATTTTCATCAATGTATTTCCCAATGAAAGTCAAAAGACTGTTAGGGTTAATAATTACCTGTTGAACTGAAAAGGAAAGTCACGTTTGAATTAAAATAGCAACCTCTTTAATCTATGTCAAAATATCTGTTACCTAGACCTTGCCAACCCAGTCTTTCCTCAACTAAATGTTAATTTGCAGCCATCAAATGGGTTTCCTGTAAAAAGGCCACATTAGCATTAAAATCTTAGTTTAAAGAGTGGTCTCTTCTGCTTATTTAAATTCCTCAATCCCTCGGCATCCCATTAAACACAAGAAAGAAAATAGTATATTGTTTGCACATCCACACATACAAATCTTACCAATTTTACAGAAATCGTTTAATTTTAAATGATACAACGTGCATATCAGGAAGGAATTGGGCATGTTTAGCCTTGAGATGAGAAGATCGACTCCGGTTGTTGTTGTTGTTGTTGTTGTTGTTGTTGTTGTTGTTGTTGTTGTTATTATTATTATTATTATTATTATTATTATTATAACATTTCTATAGCACTTTCCAAAAGGCTGTCATGCAGAAGAGGGCCAGGGACACAGAATAATGGGGTTAAATTACAGGAGGACAGATTCTGGCTGGGCATCAGGAAGACTTTCCTGGCTCTTAGAGCAATACGTCATTGGAGCCAACAGTAGGAGGCATTCAAGAAGCATTTGGACAACCATCTCTCAGGGTTGCTTTAACATGTGGTCCTGCACTGACCAGGGGATTCCACTTGAAGTCCATGTAGGCCTCTTCTAACTCTACAATTCTATAGTTCCATAATTCTATACTACATTTCAGTTCCAACATTTTTAAAACATCAAAATTATTTATTCTGCTAACCCTGCTTTTATTTGTACACTTGTTTACCCCTGTTGTTGCTTTTGGATCAAATACCCTCTAACTTATTTTACCAGGCATGAGGTTTAGAAGGAAAGGCTAAATGACTTAATTAACTACTCATTCCTATGCATCTCTCCTTAGGAGTCTAAAGGGGCTTACTCCCAGGTGTTGCTATAGGATTGCAGCCTAAACAGCCTGGGCTACAGTAAAGCTATAGTTACCATTTTAAGTTGCATTGGTTTCAGTAGGACAATTAAGCATTTGTAATTTGGTTGCAGAGATTTAAACAGAATGTAAAGGTATGTAAATCTATTGAGTTCTGAGTAAACATGCAGAGGACTGGGCTGAAACTTGCACTGCATAAGGCTTTTGGCGCTTTCTCCTTATTTTACATGTGTGTGTGTGAGAGAGAGAGAGTTGGAACTTCTTTCATTCCTAGTCATTCCTTTCCCCTTTTTGGAAAGCATGGATAGATTTTTCTCCATCTCTTCATCCGCCCACCTGCTATTCCGCCTCCATGGAAAGCTGGTGTGGCTGGAGATGGTTCGCTTCCTTATTTGTACAATCTCCTCATTGAGAATGTAGGCAGGAATGCCTGGCAAGCGCTCGAGGTTTGCTGCTTGGTCTGCAGACAGAGTAAAAGGCGCTTGAATACGTCCCGCAGTTGCCTTCTAATGAGCCAGGGCTGGAAATGAGATACTTAACTGATCAAAGGTACTTGATACAGAACAATTCCCCCTTCTTATTTGCTGCAAAATGATTATGTGGTTTTCTCGCTAACACTGGGAGACAGCGCAAGTTTGCTCAGACATTAATGCTCCGAGATTCAGCGCTCACTCTCAGGAAAAGACTGTGCAATGGCTTAGTCCTAAACATTTTAGTCTGGAAAATAGTTCTGCAACTCCCAGGGTTCCCCAGCTAAATGCTGGGAGCTGCAGGACTTTTCTTTGTCTAACAATTGCACCCTTGGAACATTTTGTAGAAAAGGGTGAATGAACAATTATTTGAATGAGAAAAGTTTTCAATGTCCATTTTACCTTAAGCTTTCACATGTCATCTCTAATCCTACTGACAACATATTAGATCCCTGCATTCCATTTACAGAAGTGTGCAGTATCATATACTAATTTAAAATATAGCTCCATTAGGTATAAAGACATACTAGAGAATAACAGGCTTTTAAAATGAAATCTGTATTTGAAAGAGTGAAAATCCATTAGGACATGCATATATTCAAGTTCTATCACTTTTCTATTGATGGATATAAAATTGGCTAACTGAGTAAAGTTGCACAATTTGGAAAGGTAATAATATAGATAAAATGCTTGCTATCAAAAATATATTGTATTAAATCCAGTCTTAGTCACACCTGGAGTACACCCACCAGAACAAATGTGGCAAGACTCAGATCTGGATTTAATATAATATATTTTATCAAAATGTGAATGCAAAATTGAATAGCTTAAAGAATATATGGGAAAATAGGCACAGAGGATCAGTGGTAATACTGAAATACAAATCTGGGAATTTTTGGGGTCAGTAGAAAAATCCATTAAGCATAAATATTACACAAACTTGTTTTTAAAAGACGGATAGATGGTATGTTATCCTAGTAACCAGCAAAATTAATAATGAGTATAACTCTCATCGTCAGAAGTGTTTTAAAAGGTGAGGATTTTTTCCTCATATAACTGGGTCATGTCCTTGTATAAAAATTATTGGAAAAATAAAATAATGAAATATCAGGTTACACTAAAATTTGATTCATTACTGTTTCTTTTAACTTGACAAGCTAATAATTGACAAGCTATACATTAACAGATGCTCGATTAATACTAACACTGCAAATTGCTAAAATATCAGATTTAAAAGAATGAATTATTAAGCTGTAGAATCTCATGGCTGTTGTCAAATTAAACTATATAAAAACAGTAAATCTTTAAAGATGATAATGGAAACTTTTATAGTATTTTTGTTATTAGCTAATCTGGTGCTTTAATCTATGATGCATTAAAGGGTAATTATGAATTAATACTAAAATTAATAACGGTTCTTTAATTTTACAATTTATTTTGAAAAATATTGTTATCAATGTATGCTAAATTCATTCCAGGCTGGCTTTCCAACCTGTGTGTTATAGATGGGGAAGTGCAAACTTTTTAATTCTCCTGGACTTCTCAAAAGCTTTTCAATACCATCAATCATTGTCCTTCTGAGTTGGTGGGGTTGAGATACAGAGTGAAAAGGGACCATTATTTCTTTCTGGTTCGACCAACTCAGACCAGCAGAGCTGGGAGATTTCTGTCTCATGACTTTTGAAACTCCTCAGGATTGGGAAGTCAACAGATCTGGCTAGTAGTGTAGAATTGGGCTTTAGAAGGGGTTGCCTTCTTTTGAAGACCAGGAGCACAGCTTGTGGGTGTCCTTTGGCTTGTCAGTTCCAGGGAGCTGCAAGTCACTGCCATGGCCAGGAGAGCCTTTAAAAATTCTGGCTTCTATGCTCACTGGAACCCTATTTGGAGTGCCTAGACCTGGCTTCAGCTAACCATTACTGGATACTTCCAAACTGGATTGCTGTAATGCACTTCACCTAAGAATTTCTTTGAAAATGGCTCAAAGCTTCAGCTGGTATAAAACACAGCTTTCTGGAAGCTGGAGGAGGATGGGCTGTCTGGAATCATAAATCAGCAACAGCTGCTCTGCCTGATTGAAGGCAGCTTGCCTGCAGAACTGGCCAACCTCAATGCACCTGTCCTAGCCTTAAGACCTGTCACAAGGCCGAGAGCGGTGGGCACAAAAAGACACTGCCTTTTCTTTCCATGAGGGCCCAGTCTCTCTGGGCCTCCCTTCTAAGAGTCAGCTCCTTTCCTGTTTGCGTTTCAATGGGACTTAAGGAGTGTGTTACTTTAATTTGCAATTGGTAAAAATTGTAGGCTGGTTTCCAAATAGTTTACTCTGCTCTAGATTAAAATGCTATACTTTTAATTGACTTTATTTGGATGGGAAAGTATAGAGAGCTGCATACAACCTGTTTGCTTTTGGATCCCTACTTGTGTTATGCACATTCTCATACAAACATCATATTTTGTGTGAGAAACATAGCTTCTCTGCTCTCTCCCCACTGCCCCCTTCAAACTGCCTTCCTCTGAGCGAATTCACATAGCACAGTAACTCACCAGAGCGGGTTCGCTCTTGTGCAAATGAGCCATGGTGTGCCTGACAGATGATCAGGTACTCCATTGGCTGTTACTCCTCTTCTTCCCCCATTGCCCTCCTGTAGGTATCCCAGGGGACATGGTGTCAGTACCAACTTTTCTCCCTTTGTCTGCCCTGATTGTCGGCTGTTTTTAGCCCACTCGGGCTTTTTACCCCTTTCCCAGGGATCATAATTTTTGGCTTGACTCTTGGCTTTCACAATCCCCATTCTGACAGTTCACTTCACAAGTGCCCACATGGCATTTTAGAGAAGCTAACCATGATTGTTAGCCAATTTTTATTTAAGTTTGTGATCCCCAAAGTGCAGGCAATAGCAAGCCCAGACATTGTCACAGAAAAACTCCAAATAGCCTTTCTACCCACTTTGATTTGGTGTGATAGCTGTCAAAAGGCAACCTGTCAAAGCTAAACTGAAGGTCTGCACTCACAAAAAGGGAGTGGTAAGATTCACACCTCACCCACTGCAAGATCCCCTTTCTTGGCAGGGGGTTACTCAAGTGTCCAAAGGTACTCTCACTTTTCCACTTGTTCTCAAGACTCCAGGTGCTCAGGAATATGAGACAGTCCCTTTAACAGGAGCTGTTAGTTATAGCTGTCCAAACACTGGCTCACTTTAAAAGGGTGGTGGGCTTTTTGCTTTTCTTTTTAAGATAGGACTCCCCATATTATCAACATAGGAACATATGCAGGCATGAGCATATAGTAAATGTCTGGACTTGACTTTCTGCATCTCAAAGAGTGAGTTCTAGCTGTATGTATTCCACATTCAACTACTCTAGTGATAACACTGATATAAAAGAGCATGCCTGATCTTCTATTCATTCTGGGTACTTGGGCCATTTATGCAGAGCCACTATTCCCCCAGGAATTTGCTTTCGAATGGACAGCTGCATTCCATTTTAAGGCACAGAAAATGTCTGGCATCTCCCAACTTAGCTTTTACTGAGGCTGGTAATGAAGCAAGTAGTTACCCAGCAGTTTAAACAAACAAACAAATCCCAAACGCTGAAGGGAATTGATGTTTTCTGACTTTGAAACTTCGGCATTATTCTGTGATCCAGAATTTCCACCACTGACAAATTTGATTTGACAGCACCTTATTTCTCATGGGAACAGTTTCTTTCCTGATTCTGCAATTTATCTGATGGATCTAAGAGGCTGAGTAGGACTATTTAGTCCCCATTTCCATTTCTACCTCCCTAGGCTATCAAAGGTTGACCAGAAGCAGACTTTTGGACTGCCAGAAGCCAGAAAACTGTACCACAGAAAGGGGAAATTGCAACACATGAATCTTAATATGAGTGCAGAGGGGAACTCACAGAGACACACAAAAACTTTCTTTGACCCACATTCTCCAGTTCTAGCAACAACTCCTGTGGTACAGATAATAAAAGAAAATGCAGCGATTAATAGAAGCCAACATGGATTTATCAAGAATAAATCTGTCAGACTAACTTAATCGCATTTTAATTTGATTTGATTTATTACATTTGTATGCTGCCCCATAGCCAATAGGGCTCCCTGGGCAGCTTACAAGAAGACAAGATACAAAATAAATACAATGATGTAGTCAAAAGTGTACAATAAACAAAATTAATATACATACAGTAATACAATCATAACAAAGATAAGTGCAAATATTTTTGACTTGTTAACCTCCCCAGTGGACAGTGGAAATACTGTGGACATAATCTACCCTGACTTTGGCAAAGTTTTTGACATAGTGCCCCACAACATCCTGAAAAGCAAACTAGCAAAACGTGAACTAGAGAGGAAAACTTTTAGGTAGATCCAAAATTGGCTGCTAAAATGAACACAAAGAGTGGTCATAAATGGTACTTTCTCAGACTAGGAGGAGGTAACTAACGCAGTGCTGCAGGGTTCAGTCTTCGGCCTAGTGCTCTTCAACATCCTTATTAATGATTTAGATGATGAAGTACCAGGAATGATAATCAGATTTACAGACAATACAAAATGAGATGGAATAGTGACCACCCTTATAATGAAGATCCAGTGAGGTCTTGATAAACTTGAATGCTGCGCTAAAAAGACCAGACTGAGATTCAGTAGGGGCAAGTGCCAAGTCCTCCACCTAGGAAAAAGAAACCAAATGCATTGATACAAGATGGGGAATATGTGGCTCAACAGAAATGAAAAGGATAATAGGCTAAATATGAGCCAACAACATGATACAGCTGGAAAAAGGACAAATGCTATTTTGGGATGCATTCATAGAAGTATTACTTCCAAATCATGAGAAGTAATAGCTTCTTTATATTCTTCACTAGTCAGACCACATCTAGAATACTGTGTCTAGTTCTGGGCACCAAGATTTAAGAAAGATGCAGAAAAACTAGAGTGGGTTCAGAGTAGGGCAATAAAAATGATCCAGAGTTTGAAAACATTGCCCTTTCAGGAGAGACTGAGGGAACTGGGCATGTTCAGCCTTGACAAGAGAAGACTGAGGGAGGCATGATATCACTCTATAGGTATCTGAA